ATTTTTATCAATTCAGAATTGGATAGTTAAGGGGGAAAAAAAATGTACAAAGCAACATTAAAAATATTTAAAGAATGAAGAGAATTCTAGATTTCATTTTTAAAAACGATATTACTAAATTCTTATTTAATAAAAATTCGCAGTCCAATAATGTATCACTATAGACGGTTTAATAATCGCCGGTGATTAATGATTCCCATTGTGCACTTAACTGTTTGCGAGTGCATCATCTAGACTGCGCGTCAATTACGTCTAAAATATATCATTTTTAAATGTTTCAAATCCCTGTGGAACTGTATGATTGATTCATAATATTACTAAAACGTTTGATGTTGTAATGTATAAGTTTTAAAAAAACATTTGATGATTCTCATTCAAGTCCTTTGCATTGAAAAAGTGTACTTTTTTCTACCTTTCGCTTATCAAGTATGTACGTATTTGCGCGCATCATTACTATGGTATTTATTTATTCATCTGGATATCGAACGGTTCAGGATCGCGTGCTTACGAAAAATATTAAAAGTGCGTATTTATAAATATATGTAACATTTACTTTAATGTAAGTATTGCCCAAAATATGAGTTTCGTACTATAATATATATGTATATGTTATAGTAATCAATGTAGAAGGATTGTGAGATTGATATGTCGTCGAAGCAGTAATCTTATACATATCACAGTGCTGTGATTTGATAATAATCAATAATGATAAAGTTCATCCTTTCTCCCTCCTCCTTCGATATCGTTTCTCATCTATGCTAATACTCTTTCATCATCTTTTGGCTCCTCGTTTCGCCCTCGACCCATCTTAATTTATCTTGTTGCTCATCGGAGAAATTACAATTCTTGTTTGCAGTAGGAAGCGGACTTAAAATTTGGCGGAGCAAACATAAACGCGATGCACAAAATTTCAAATCTCTACAAATGAATCTTACGCGTTATACGATCTTCTTATGTAAGGTGAAAATTGTATCGTATTTCATACTAAGTAGTTCAGTTTCGATTAAAAGATTGTATTAATTTAAGACTCTTCTTTCTAATATCAACATTCGTTACGATTTTATCTTCGAATAAGCGTAACGTGAATTTAATTCATATTGCACTTTGTGCTATAATAG